ATAGCCTACTCAACTTATGACCAAATCGTGTTACGACCGGTCTGCTGGTCCCAATCATGGTCGTAAGTCGAGCACTAGCTGTAAACAGAAAATGTGCTCCAGACATAAAGAAGTAAGCATTAGGAGGCAAAAAATCAACCATCCAATGGAGAGTTGTTGAAAACTTGAATGCAAACACAAAATAACTTGGGAGAAAACTGGAAAAAGGCAACATATTTGAAAAGGACATCATTATAATAGCGTGCTTCCTGAAGGATGAGAGCATTAAGAGATGACCAGAATGGGTAATTGTTTCTTCAGAGAAGTGACTCAGAACAATTAAAGGCATGGCATCAGAAAAAGAGTGAAAGATCAGGTCATGAATATAAATAAATATACTATAAAGTTGAGCAATTATGAGAATTGGTACTATTTACTATAAGGCATTTCTTCAAGAGAAGCACAGGGGCCAGTGCCCAGTTCAAAGGAAGCCTGGAAATCAGGGCAGGAAAAGGGCCTCCAGATTCCACATGGAGTTTTGTGTGGTGCTTGGCAGTTTTTCACTCTTATTTCTCCAAAGGGATAAAATATAAATGTTTCAAAGGCAGACAAAACCCACTATTTTTCTAACACACTGAAAACATTTGGCCAGGCAGAGTGGCTCACATCTGTAATCCCAACACTTTCGGAGGCCGAGGTGGGTGAATCACTTGAGGTCAGAGGTTTGAGAGGAGCCTGGCCCACATGGTGAAACCCTTCTCTACTAAAAACATTTTGAAAAAAGTTAGCTGAACATGGTGGTGCACATGCCATGCCTATAATCCCAGCTACTCAGGTAGCTGAAGCACAAGAATTGAGAATCATTCGAACCTGGGAGGCAGAGCTTGCAGATGACAGAGCAAGATCCTGTCTCAGAAAAAGAAAGAGAGAGAGAGAAAGAGGGAAGGAGAGAAGGAGTAGGGAAGGAAGGAAGGGAGGGAGGGAGGGAGGGAAGAAAGGAGGGAGAGAAGAAAGGAGGGAGGGAGGACATTTAACAAAGGATGTTAACAGGCTTTCAATGTTGCCTCCAACATTCATTTAAAAGGACTTTGCTTTGATATGATTATGCATAACATTGTCATAAAACTTACACAGTACAACTTTAAAAGGTGATAGGCCATTTTACAAACCGAAGACTATAAATACGAAAAATCTTATGTTAAGTACTTTTTTTTTTACTAATAACACATTTATTGTTGATCAAAATTATACTTGATTTTTGAAGCTTTTGGGGAAAAGAATGCCACAATTATCTTCTTATACATGTTGCGCCTGGAACTTGTCAGTGCGGCATCCTGTCGTGCTGCTTGGGTGCTGGAAGGATTGATATGCTCATTTTATATTCTATGATGCAAAAACACAAAATGAAACTACAAACTGCACAGCCTGTGGATTCTGAATGCTCTTTGTTGGTGTGATAGTTCAGAAAGTCCAGTATCTGTCCAATATATGATGGAAGTTGAATTGTTCAACATCTAGATTCATGATTTAAAATTGTTGTTTACATTTTAAAACCTATTAGTGGATAAATTATTCCATCTGTTTACTTTCCTTTCTCTTAGGTCTCTCGATTTTTCACTATCATCACAAAAATATAGCCAATGAGAAATCAAATTGAATATTTGTTGCAGAAGAAAAAATAAAACTTTTTAAATTCTTTAAAAGTTTTTAAGTGTAAGCATGGAATGTTTAAATTCTGATTTGAGATCAAACGTTCAGCAGATGACATCCAGGAAGCGGCACTGGCATCATAGCCCTGGAAAAGCTCCTCATAAGGACACGGCGCCTGCTGCTTGGTTCTTACTCTTTTTAAAGTGAGTGGCAGCTCTACTCAAAAACGTTTACATCTATTTCAAATAAATAAAATCAACATTCTGAAGTATACTGAGAAAAAAACCTAGCATGTTGAAAATATCCTCAATACTGATTCATAGTATTTCTTAAAACATAATTTTGTATTATTTGACAAGTTCCAACCCTCTTTCTACACAAAAAGTAAATTTCAAGTGGAAAACAGTCCTGAAAAACATGCACAAAAGTGAGAACAGACTCTGAGCAGAGGAATTCAGGGGTTTTACTTTCTCGTTTTTTTCTTATCTGCATTTTCTAATACGTCTATAATCAACATAAATCCTTTATAATTTAATAAAGTACTCTTAATTTTAAAACTACAGAAGAGCAGAAGATCAAACACCGCATGTTCTCACTCATAGGTGGGTGTTGAACAATGAGAACACATGGACACAGGGAGGGGAGCACTACACACTGGGGTCAGTTGGGGGGAAATAGGGGAGGGACGGCGGGGAGTGGGAAGCTGGGGAGAGATAGCAAGGGGAGAGATGCCAGATGTAGGTGATGGGGAGGAAGGCAGCAAATCACACTGCCATGTGTGTACCTATGCAACAATCTTGCATGTTCTTCACATGTACCCCAAAACCTAAAATGCAATAAAATAAATAAATGGGAAAAAAAAAACTAGTGTGAGGTATCATAGGAGAGAAGTTAATTTAAAAACATAATTAATGTTGACTGTGAGTAAGGCATTGTGCATGCCCGATGCTGAGTGAAATCTCATTCCTTCTTTCAAAGACGTTAGACCTCCATTGGAGACATGATTCAATCAGAGAATAACAGTAACAATAGTAGATGGCATTTATTCCTCGACCGCTGAGTAAGGCATTTCTAAATATTTCTAATCTTTACATTCATTTCACAAGTTAGAAATTATTTCAGGCCGGGCGCGGTGGCTCAAGCCTGTAATCCCAGCACTGTGGGAGGCCGAGGCGGGTGGATCACGAGGTCAAGAGATCGAGACCATCCTGGTCAACATGGTGAAACCCCGTCTCTACTAAAAATACAAAAAGAAAAATTAGCTGGGCATGGTGGCGCGTGCCTGTAATCCCAGCGACTCAGGAGGCTGGGGCAGGAGAATTGCCTGAACCCGGGAGGCGGAGGTTGCGGTGAGCCGAGATCGCGCCATTGCACTCCAGCCTGGGTAACAAGAGCGAAACTCCGTCTCAAAAAAAAAAAAAAAAAAAAAGAAATTATTTCAGTTTCACAGATAAGGAAACCGAGGCTCAGAAATATGAAACTATTTGCTCATAGTTTGCATGGGGCCAAATTTGCCTTCTTTTCATTCCACTGCATTTGGTAAAATAGTCCCTTTAAAAGAGTAACATGTATGCCAAACAAGCGATAAATGTTCCAAAGAATTACTTGACATTACAACCAGATATCATTTGTGCCTACGGGAAGATCACACTGAACACAGGTTATTGTTTTTCCAGCCACGTGCAGTTAGGTTCGCTGCAGAGTGTTCAGAGGACGGATGCCACACCGCAAAATGGATTACATGATTTTAACAAGGGAGGTAAGAGTGAGGACCACCAAATGTCTAATTTCAAGCTAAGGAACAAAAACTTTCATTATCCAGCTTAAGTACAAATAATATAAACACCATTTTAAACATAGATATGCTATACTCTTCAGGAACTTTCCAATCCACTGTCTCACTGATTCTTGAAAAGTAAGTAAACCTATAAACACGTAAAATGATTGTTGATTGAATTAATCAAGTTACTTAACCAAAGACATCTAGCCAGTTGGTGAAAAAGCTGAAACAGGAATTTAGTGCTCTTCCGGCCACAAAGCTGCCTACACGTCTACACCAGGGTTTCCTGCAGGGGCGGGACACACCCCCACCAGAGGTTCGGTCCACAGGTGGGACACACCCACATGAGAGGCTCTGTTCATGGGCAGGACACACCCACATAAGAGGCTCTGTCCAGGGGCGGGACACACCACATGAGAGGCTCCTCCATGGGTGGGACACACCCACACCAGAGGCTCTGCCCATGGCAGGACACACCCCCACGAGAGGCTCCAGCCATGGGTGGGACACACCCACACCAGAGGCTCTGTCCACGGCAGGACACATCCACATGAGAGGCTCTGTCCACCGGCGGGATACACCCACATAAGAGGCTCTGTCCATGGGCGGGACACACCCACACCAGAGGCTCTGTCCACGGCAGGACACACCCACATGAGAGGCTCTGTGCACAAGCAGGACACAGCTCACACCTGTTCCCCTCCCCCATGATACCATCTGGACTCTTTTGCAAGTCAGCTATTTCTAGTAATAAGAAAAAAGGTGGTAACACTGAGCAGACTTTATGCATATTCTCTCCTGGAGGTTGATTTCGTTATAAATAAACAATCGGACAAACTTTGAAGGAGGAAACTGAGGCAATAAGGTTTTGAGGAGTGTTCCCAAAGCCACACACCCAGCAGGCGCTAGAGCAGCCAAGGCAGGGCGGAGAGTGTCCATGCGCTGGCGGCGGTTAGGTTCACCTCCCAAGTCATCACTCAGGGCTCATGTCCTTTGAGGAGTGCTGAGGAGTCTAAGAAAACTAAGGACTAAATAAATGAAACTTGGCACACTCAGCCAAAAATCACTATCATCCATCACTTAGTCGTCCACCAACCTAGGATAAGAACTCAGTCTGCTGAGGACTGAGCTATTGATGATGGCAGGGAGAGCAACACTTTGAGGTGGGGAGTGCCTGCTGCTGCCAGGTGGGGTCCCCGGCACAGCTACGGATCCACTTTCCCCAGGGCTGTGAGCCCCACCTCCTACAGCCTCACCCGGCAAGCACATCCACCCTTAGCTTCACGGCTGGCGTCTGATGGTGCAGCTTTCATGACTGCCTGGAAGGCCTAAATGAGTGACTACAGGTGCAGCTGGCAGATAATTCATATGCATTTTCCTGGAGTCATGACGGGTGCACCTTCCGACGCCAGCCACACGTGGCCCTAAAGCATTTTTCATTCCTGGTTCTTATTTGCCTTTCCCAAGGAACCATCCACCTCTGTGAAAGGCCCTAATTATGGTTCTTTTTCCTCCAAGTTTGTTTTCTAACTCTGGAAAACAGAGCTTCGGTGTATGACAGAGGCATAAAGGTTCTGTTCCTAAAAAGCACCTGCCAAGGGCTGGGCATCCATGCATTCTCTCGTTAGCTCTGTCTTCACAGCAGAAAACACAAAGCCACAGTTATTGTTGATACAAACCTTTCTTTCAACGTCTTCACAAAGCCTTGCATCTTCATTTTCCTAGTATGAAAAAAATAAATATAGAAATCAACTATCTGCAAGAAAGATGGCGTAAAATAAATCCTTAATCTCCCCTGCCTCTACTCAGCTTCTTGGGGAGGTCAAATTCTTTCTCATCAACACCACTCAGGAGTTTGCGTAAAGCCTCAAGCCTCATCCTCACCACCAGCTCACTGCTCTGGTCCTCCTGCTTCCTTCCACTTGGTTTCCCATTCTAAATCCTTTGTTTTTATGTACATCTCTTTGCTCATCCTTATGCAAAAGGCAGCATGTTACACCTGTATTCTCCGTTGCACCTTGATTTTTTTTTCACTTAATATAACATCTTGGAGCTCCCATCCTTCAGTTATATGAGTCTATCTAACTATTTTCACAGCTATCCTATATGCCATTCTATTGGTGAAGCATAAGTTAGCCCTGTAAATGAACATTGCATTTGTTTCTATTATTAATAGCCATTAATTATATTATATTAATATTTGTTATATTAATATAACAAACGTGTTGTTATATGTTAATAATATTTTCGAAAAGGCTGCATTGATTTATACTTAACCCTAGTAAGAAACATTGCTGCTTTTCTGCATCTATATTAACATAAAAATATAGTGTTGAATTATCTGCAAGAGGGATAGTGTAAAACAAATCCTTTATCTGGATTTATTAAGCACTGGACATCGCCAACCTGATATAATGACAAAACATTCATGTTTATTATCTGCATTTCTTTAGTTAGGAATGATATGGACATATTTCTTTATGTCTTTTGGAAATTTGTATTATTCTCTGTGAATTTCCTGTTTGTCTTACTTGCTTTTCTTTTTTATTGGGCTTTGTGTTAATGATTTATGAGACTTGCATAAAATAAGAAAATCTGATTTGTGTTGCACATATTTTCTTCCTTATTTTGTTTAGCTTTTGGCTTTATGGCATTTTCCAAAGAGAAAAGTTAGATTTTCATGTAGATAAACACTAAGGCTTTGGGGATAATCACTTCTTCTGACATAGCCTTTTGAGACTCACTGAATATCTACCTTCATCTTTAGTCCCCTCTACTGGGGCCACGCTCAGCTCCAGGTTGGCCACACTCCAGCCTCAGGCCAGAGGCCATGCAATGCCCCGTCTGCCTCCAATGCTGCACATGGCCACCTAATATCTTCCAGGGTCTTATCAAACTCAAGATCAGTTACTCAAGGGTCTTACCAAACTCAAGATCAGTTACTCCAGGGTCTTACCAAACTCAGGATCAGTTACTCCGGGGTCTTAACAAACTCAAGATCAGTTACTCCGGGGTCTTAACAAACTCAAGATCAGTTACTGCAGGGTCTTACCAAACTCAAGATCAGTTAC